TTTTTAAATTTTTTATTTTCGATATGCTCGCGCCCCCCTTGTAGGTTTATCGCGCCTCCCCTAGGGGGCGCGCCCCACAGTTTGAGAAACACTGCTGTACGTTTAATAGTTTCAGAGATATCGTGATTAGTCAGTAAGTCAATGAGTGAGTCGCTTTTCTCCTTTATATATAGGTACACAAAATATATAGTGAACCTATTCTTTTAGTAAAATATTAAGATAATTTCTTTGAAAAAATTATAAAATTTTGCAATTTTGAAAATTTTTATTTTGTCCCTGTTTTTCATACATAAAACTATTTTTTAAAAAAGTATGCACTACTTCGACTAAAAAAGAAATAGGTACCCTATATGCACAGGTATTTTGTATAGAAGTATAAAAAATTTGGAACCACCATATAGTGCAATTTTTTTTTAAAGTGTACCTAAAAGCAAAAAATAATGTTTTGAAGAAAATGTGAAAGAACTAAACATTTGTAAACGTTTGTTTACGTTTTTGTCAATTACTTCATTCATATTTTAAGGTTATTTTTATAAACGAACGTATAAGTGATATACATTTTTAGGTTCATAAAAAATATGCAGTATATTTTTTAATACCAAAATTGAAAAATCAATCTTTTGAATGTGTATTATGTCTTGCTTCTCTTAAGGCTATGTATCGAAATCTCAAGGCAGTGATAGGGAAACCACTTTAGAAGCGGATAAATGTACATTTCAGTCATATAACTTATTATGAGATGCAATAAAGACGGAAAAATAATATGTTTTTTAAAAATCCATTTATACTGATGCAATAAATGATTTCGTGACGTACTGTATATATTCATTTTTTCCAATTTTTTAAGAAAATGAAAGTTTTTTTAAATTTCTTTCTAAAAATAATCCTTAATTTGTGACGGATGTATTCGCGATCCTTCTACAAATCCTTTTGGGAAATCTTTGGGCTATCAATTCGCGTTATTCACAACCAACCCTTTGGAAGAAGAAAATCTTGATATGCAGATTAAGTTACTATATATATAGTCGAAGTTTTCTAGCTAGAATAGAGAGTAGGAGAGAAGAAGATAAATCCAAATCAGGTGAGATTGTTACTGACAGGTATCGTATTTGAATTATTGTGATTAAAGACTTATTAGAAGGAAGCTTAAAAGTGACGATTGTTCCCTGAGATTAAATTGATATTAGATTAAATCGGATGATAGATTAGATCATATATAAAGTAAGGATCGAGTTTGATGGATTCGTGTATTACCATCGTTATTCCACTTTCGTGGTTAGCACCGAGACATTCTCTTACTGTTATTAATTGAATTTGTGTTGTTTTATTGTGAGATCAAGAAATAGATTGTGATTGGATCATGACAAGTGTTTCTTCCCTATCTTCCACATATCTAGGTCCCCAAGAGAAGGGTGATAACCTCTCACAAATCATTTTTTGATTTGACTAAGCGTCGAATTCATGGAATGGAAAATGATTGATGTACCCTGTGTTTTAAAGGTAAGAGAACAAAACACTTTTGCCTATACAGTAGATAAAAACTATGTATTATAGTATAGAATGTAATTAAAAATGCAATTAATAATACGCATTAAATATTTTATAGCTTATTCGATGATTTACGTCTTTTCCAGATGAAAGTAATTCCGAGTTGAAACAAAAAATAAATCTTACACCTTTTTAAGAGAGCACATATGATCCTGTTTCATCAACAATTTGAAGACTGCTTTATGGAAAATTTTATTTAAGAAATAAAGTATTCACGAGGGTAATCCCAAAAGCCATACCAAATTCAAAACCAGTCAAAAAGACAAATTTCATAGCATAACCTAAGATTTTGTTGATGGTTTTCAATTAATCATATTAATCTGAATATTTCTTGCAATTGTAAAAATATGATTACATATCAATTTTTAAGGGGTTTAAATACGTACCATAATTTACAGCAGTTGCCTCCTGCAGCTTCGAGGTAACGGGCCAGCTTCGCAAGCCTAAGTTTTTGGGTTCGACTCCGGTTTGAGTTTGTGGCATGAAGAAAATCCCTTGAGTTTGGCTCTGATACTCTCGAGAGTAGTAAATCACGGCAATATTTAGCATCCGACGCGAGAGTTTGAAATGAAAAAAAAAATTCAAACGACGCAATTTGGTAGCGGAAGCTGCCACTAGAGGGAGCCCTCAATGAAATGATTTCTACTATTGGGGACTTGCCATGTCTGAAAAGGCTTAGTTGTTAATATGCAACCATTGGCAAAAAATAATTTAGAGCACAGTCATAAATAAGGAATAGATGGAAAATTTTTCTTTAGATGCTATTGAGAAATATTAAGACTGAACAATATAATGGAATGATCAATGGAATTAAACAAAAACAACCTCATTGAAAAACAAATATTTTTTTATTAATAACACAAAAATACTTAGTTATATGAAAATTTGACAGTTCTTACGATATATATAATAAAATAGAAGTTTATATTATAAATGAACTGGGGGGGAAAATAATTTATATTCAATATTTTCGACTGAAAATATTATTTTGAAATCAAGCAATAGTATTTGAACATAACACATTATTCAATTCCAACTACTAGCTCACACTCTGCTTACATATATATTTATATATTTATTTATCTTGTTCAAATTTTCAATCGTTAATAAAATTCTTTCTATTCATCCAATCAAGTTCAAATAAATTTTTTTAAACTTGTAGTGGATCACACTAGATGTAAATACAGTTTTTCCAAATATTAAATAATTAATTAAATTTCATTGAATTAATTATAGGTTTTTGACGCCAACTTAGATTTGTCTCTATTGTTGAAACAATGCAACTGTTAAAACAAAAACAAAAGTTGGCGTCGAAAACCTGTTTTTCAGCCAAATTAGCCAAACTGTCTGTGCATTGTTACAACAATGCAGACGAATCATGCTTTTTTTTCAATTCCTACTATTGGTTCACTCTCTCCCTAGATATACAGTTTATTATTATTTATTTATATCTAACTCATTTTTCAATTGTTAATAAAATACTTTCTATTCCTGCATTAAAAGTAGCAATTGACTTAATTTTTTTATATTATTTGTGTTTTCATATGCATGACTTATAAAAATATGAAGAGCATATTTAACGAGACTATTTGGTATTCCATAGAGTAATATGAAATATTTATTTGCACCTGCGAGTAAAAAGTTGTACCCTTGACAATTTTAATTTTAAGCTCAAGTATTAACACATATTAAGTTGAATAAAGAATGTCCGAAAAAAGGAAGAAAAACTATGATTTACAGCGTTGATGGTAAGAAGCGTAAAACGTTTCCCTTATAATGATAATGTTGCTGTTAATGATGAACTCGTAGGTTTATTTTGTATACATACTCTAAACATCAAGTTAGCCCTTTAATAGGCTCTTATGAGCGAAAGTCTTCTTATCTATTTTGAATGAGTAAATTCAACGACTTTTACGTGAGTACAGCTTTTAACGTTATTATCAGTTCATATAAAAATGCAAACTTTCAATAACTACCCCAAATGTACCCCAAAAGTGCTCTTCGTCAAACCGTTTTCTAGAATTTTTCTTCTCAGTTTCTTCATGGAAGAGTTTTATTTGGTTCAATATTTGTACCCGATGCTGTCAAAGATAAAGAAGTTTCATGTTAAGAAATATTGGAAAACTGTCAGCTAGTTAATTGTCTCTTTTTACCAATATGCTCCCCTGAAGAAGATTATTGATAATTCCTCGAAGCCCACAGAAAAGAATTACTTTTTTGTGTGCATTTATTCGTGAAGTGCGTCATCTGTCTTTACTTTAAATTAATTTTGCATCGGTATACACTGTTTTGTATAATCCGATGTTTTCTCAAATATTGTTTACTTTCTGTGAAACGTTGAATATTTTTCAAAACTAATTTGTGCTTCTCAAGAAAACTGTCAGTTACATCTCAAGATGTATTGCTTACCAAGATTCATGGAAAGATTTATAAATTTATTTCACCGGATATAACAATTTATATTTCACAAATAATATAACAAATTTTTTTTGAAGTCAATTCCTACTTAGGTCAACAAAGAAAACTTTTATTTTAGTTACTTTTTATTGAATAGTTAAACAATTAATAATGTTACGAATTTTGTGTAAATAGTGTAAATAATCTGTATTTGGATGTGTAATGCATTTATATTAATCTATGTTACATTTATTTTTTGCTAAAATTGTAATATTCATAAGCAATACCGTTCATTACGATATAGTGGCGATTTAATGAGAATTTGGCGAAATCTTGGCGATAGAGCCAAGTTGGCACCATTTTTGGCGACCAAGTTTGCTATCAATTTGGTGACTTTGGCGACCATTTTGGCGTCATTGGCGACCATAATGGCGTGTTCGGAACCCTCTGGATTCTTCTAGAAATTTGTGGAGAGATCCACTAATGTCACGCTCTATGACACGAGCGGTTATATTTCTGGAAGTTTTTGCCACGCATGTTAATAAAGATGCTCGCCGGAACGACAGTCGGTCTTGATTTCAACCAGTGAAGAGTGAACATTGTTTCGACTAGCGGTTAGCTCGGCTGTACTTGTGAATAATTACATACGTGTATTTTTAAACACTGACAATTGTGTTTGAGTGCTTTTGAAGGTGTGAAGACGTTAGGAAATTTACTCTGTGAATATTGCTGCTGAATCCTGTATTTAAAGGATCGAATTTTCTTTAATAAATTATCATCGCTCTTAAAGAATTGCCTAATATTTAGTGACGGATTTGCATAAAATCCTCGAACCCGGATCTACGTAACAATATATAAATATGTCTATACATATGATAGAATCACAATATTAAGTGACCAAATAGAAAGCGATTTCCCTTGCAATTTTCTATTTTCCTTTCTGTATACAGTGGACAATTTTGTTTTGAATGTTACTAATTATTTATGAATTAAATTTAATTATTCTAATGAAATAATTTAGTATACAAAAGGAATCATATTCTCAGAATTCAGGTCATCCATGGTGGGATTCCAACCCACGATCATCGGATTAGACGTTCAACGCGCTATCTATTGCGCTACAGAGACACAACGAATGCCCTTCTTTATATATATGCTATTGGACTGTTATTTTTGTTTGTTATTATTTATTCATTTTTAAATTTAATTAATGAAGTAAAATATTTGAAAAAACTGTATTAACATCAAGTGTCATCCACTACAAGTTTAAAATAATGTATTTGAATTTGAATGGATGAATAGAAAGTATATATATATATATATATATATATATATATATATATATATATATATATATATATATATAAATCTGTGTGTATGTGACTAAACTCCTCCTAAACGGCTGGACTTATTTTGATGAAATTGTTTGTGTGGGGTTAAGTGGATTCGAGAATGGTTTAGATTTACAATTCGGTCCGATATCGCAATTAGTTAAAAAGATAATAATTAAAAACATTCAGCTCAATATTCAACTGCTTTGTTGTAACTACATTATTGTTATAAAAATGACGTAAGTTGGCGTGGAAAATCGATTTTCAGCCAAACTGACCAAACCGGGTCTTCATTGTTACAAAAATGCAGAGAAATCATGCTTTTTAGCGTTTTTAATTAATATCTTTCAAATAATCTTTATATATATAATTCTTCTATGTTTATGTATGTGGCTGAACTCCTCCTAAACGGCTGGATCGATTTTGATGACATTTTTTGTGTAGATTCGGGAATGGTTTAGATTCACAATTCGGTCCAAAATTGCAATTAGTTAAAAATACATTAATTAAAAACCTTAAAACGCATAATTGTTTTACCCCTGTGTGCTGTTTCTTCTGCTAATGCGCTGAAAGAAAAAAAAATAAAGAAGAAGAGAGAATTTTCTGATATTTTCGCCGCTCTTAAAATTGCAATCTAATTTTTCTATCAAAATCAGTCAAAAAAAATTACAGCATCGGAAAGATTATTCATTTCGACACGATACGGCATATATTTTTTTATATATAATTCTTCTGTGCGTGTGTATGTGACTGAACTCCGCCTAAACGGCTGGACCGATTTGGATGATATTATTTGTGTGGATTCAAGAATGATTTAGATTTCCAATTCGGTCCGATATCGCAATTAGTTAAAAATGTGCCAAAAAATGAAAGGACGCGCGATTATTCATAAAAAAATCATGGGCAATATTCTTGAGGCCACTATTTTGAGCGGCAAACTTCAAGGTGAAGTTGTACTTCTACCACAAATCCCAATGATTTTTTCAGACTCACATACCGATTCAAATGTTTGCAATTTCCAATTCGCTTGACATTTGCTATAACCATTAATAAGTCACAAGGTCAAAGAATGACACTATGTTGCTTAGATTTAGAAAACCCTTGCTTTTCTCTTATGGCCAATTATATGTTGCATGTCCGAGGTTTGGCAAACCATCGCATTTTATACCCCTCAATGATTAACCAAAAACATTGCACATTCAAAGGCATTACGATAAATGTTCTTTTTTGTGCATTAAAAATATACCTGTTATGAAAATAGCTCGAGTGTTATCTTTTTTACCCTTTAATTAAAACAAGTTCAAGTTTCTGTTCAGAATAACTTCTATATTCAACTTAGTTCATAGTAAATACATACTCACATACAATTAATAGGTCGAATTGTGGTAACTGTACATGTGATGATGTCAGGTATTGTAATAACTTGCTTTGTAAAAAATTTCATCAAATCTGTCCAGATTGTTACAACTTATTCAAAAAAGTTTGTAATTTTCAGATTTGAGAAGTGTGTACAGGACAACATCTGTCGGGACCGCTAGTATATATATATATATATATATATGTATATATATATACATAAAGAGAGAGAGAGACAGAGAGTGAACTAGTTGTAGGAATTGAAAAATGAAGTATAAATCGTATATCCATTCCACCTTTTTCCTTAATAACACAAATATATAACTTATTCGTTGAATCAGGGACTCTACTTGCAAATAAATCTTAAGAATTGAAGAATGAATATGAGGAGTATTGAATATTAGAGGAAAAAAAGCAAATCAAATAGCCAAAATGTTAAGAGTTTAATTGTGAAGTTAAAATTTCAGTTAGTTGACACATCTCTAAAGCCTTTTATATATACAAAAAAAGAGAGAAAAAAAGAAAAAAATAGAAAAAAAATTTAAAAAGTAAAAAAAAAAATTATTTCCACCAGATGTTGTGCCTAACCCTCTGATGATACTGGTTTCGGTATTTATAAATGGGAATACATTCAAAAGTTTTCGAATAGGAATAAGTATTTCTGCCTTTTTTGTGTTTTCAATATTTTGAAAGAGAAAAAATATATCAAAATTATGCAGTAGCAATCTGATAAGCATTTTATTTCTATTACATCCTTATAGAAAATATAAGATAATAAAAAATTCCATAAAAATAGAAAACATTAGGAAGAATAATCTTGATGAACACAATTAACTATATTTTTAAGATTATTAATCAGATAGTTGATACAACGCAAATCATATTCATAAGCGATACTTATTGAACAGTAATTGTCAAATAAGAATTTTACCTAAATTTTGAAGAAAATATATTTTTATCGGAACTATCTTTTAAGAAGTTGTCGTGGCCAGAAGGTCGTGGGTTCGGAAAGTAGCAGACCGGATCTTAAAAAAATATCTACTTTAAGACATAAAATAATTTATGTATACAAATTACTACTTTAATATATAAAATAATTTAATATATAAAAATATTTTATGTTTTTATGAAAATATACAAGTTTATAGCTTAACTCTGGGAGCAATTTGAAATCCTAACACTTAATCTGATGTACAAGATTATTGAAAATCACTTAGATTTCGTCAGAGTTTCTTGTGAGAATCCTTCTCGAATTCCATTAGTTTGATCAGCTAAAATAATATTTACTTCCATTACTTCTGGTGGATTCTATGACAAATATTAATTTCAAAACGCGTGACCACTCATTCGCAATTCACCTTTTCTTATTCTTAGATTTTAAGATTAACGATCAATGATTAACTTTTAACCTCAAGATTTAAACAGAAGTTACATTTTCGTAAAATCAAGTCATCTCTTCAGAAAGCAGTTTTTAAACTAAAAAGTTAGTTTTTAAACACACTTAAAGAATAGTTTCCCCAACAGGATTTGTAGAACTGAATTAGTACCCGTTACAAAGTGATATGTTTTAAAGAATAATACTACCACTTAACCCTTATATATATTTCTAAGAGATATTATATAACTGTCATTTGCTTATGTGGAAATGTGATATTAGCATTCTTAAAATCGTATGCAAATTAAGAAAAGAAAAATATATTTATACCTATTATCACAAGTTATTCCCTTCTCCCAGACACATGACTGTATTTTTAATGACGCCTTCTTCCCTGTACATAAAAACTTGATATTTGAAAAATTCCCTGTCTTGTATTTTTAAGGTGTACAAGAAGCATGCTCGAATAAATTATGTGATATCACGAACAAGCCTTTTTAATTTTTCTGCCATGTTTCTTAATCACCTCTAATCAAAATATAAAATTTTCGCAGGCAAACACACATATATATGGCATATAATCTATATAATTTATGTATATATATATATATATATATATATATATATATATATATATATATATATATATATATATATATATATATACTAGCCGTTACCCACCCGCTTCACTGGATTTTTCACGATGTTGTATATATGTATACTGTTTACATATATATTAATTATTGATATCTAGCGTTAAGAATTCGATTGTATTGAAAAATATATTTATAGCTGGCCCCTTGATATAAAAATAACATAAATTATAATATCTGATTTCTATTTATATCTAAAATAGAAGGAGAAAGATTTTTCTCTCACTTAACCTAATAATCAAATGGATTTCCTCCAAAGCAACTTTCAGTGGACCTCTACTCCATAAAATAAACATGCGTGCTAAATTTCAAGTGTAAATCTAACAGAGCAAAAACGGAATTTTTATCATCGATACCTCGTTGAGAGCACTCTTAGCGGATTCCAATTCAACAAAAGAAGCATGCAAACCAAATTTTATTATTGTAGTCTTAGCAGTTCGAAAACGGGAAATTTGTCTATCAATACGCTCCAATAACACTCCCCGCTTCCCCCTGGAGTTGGTTTCCGTAACATCCATTCTTAGTGGAACTCTATTCAACTATATATATATAATGAAAATTGCTCAACAAATTTCAAGTAAATGAGTTAAATTCAAAAACAGGAATTTTTCTATAATACGCCTTAATCCTTCGCAACCCCACTCCTTTGGGGGTCCGTTTTCGCAAAAATCTTTGTAAAAGGAAATTTATTCCATGAAAGGAACATACCTTCTAATTTTCAAGCAGGTGTTTCTATTAGTTGAAAAGCGGAAATATTTATCTATTATACACCCCTTAATGGCCCCCAGTGACCCTTGAGGATCAATTTTCCCCAAACCTATTTTGTAGCGGATCTCTACACCATGAAAGAAATTCGCTTACCAAATTTTAAGACTGTACGTCTAATAGTTTAAAAATGGAAATAATTATCTATAACGCCCCTTAAGCCCCCTTAAGCCACTTAGGAAACGATATTCCCAAAACCCATCTTACGGCATATCTCTACTCATTGAATGGAATCTGCTTACTCAATTTCAAGATTTTACGTCTAATAGTTTAAAAAAGGAGTTAATGGCCTATAACGCCCCTTAATTCTCCCCAACGCCACTTGAGGTCGATTTTCACAAAACCCATTCTGTAGGGGATCTGTACTCTAAGAAAGGATTCCGCTTATACTAAATTTCAAGACTGTACGTCTAATAGTTTAAAAATGGAAATAATTATGTATAACGCCCCTTAAGCCCCCACAACGCCACTTAGGAATCGATTTTCACAAAACCCCTCTTATAGCGAATCTCTACTTAATGAATGGAATCAGCTTACTAAATTTCGAGATTTTATGTCTAATAGTTTAAAAAAGGAGTTAATTGCCTATAACGCCACTTAATTCTCTACAACGCCACTTTGGAGTCGATTTTGACAAAACCCATTTTG